AGGGACGAAAAATAAAAATCAAAACAAACGATTCACTTTCATCTTCCTTAGCTGTTGTTTAAGAAGGACGTCACAGAGTGTTGTAACAAAAAAGAGAAAGATTGAGCTAGGGGAGAAATGACAACTTAAAAGAGAACAGAATAATGTGCTAGCAGTAATCGTAAAAGATTTGCTTCAAAATTGCAATGGCTGGTAATTGTGAAAGGAAGAAAAAAAAAAACAAATGTGGAACAATTCAAGTGGTCGAAAATAGATGAAATTTTGGGTGGATAAAATGTTGCCAAAAGGGTGACTCTAGAATGGATTAAATATTTTTTGTTTCCCTAAAAATGCAGTGGAAATATTCTTCCTGTCTTTCAAAGTCCATCTAAATTCCAACTAAAAATGTCCGATGGTCAATAAAAAAAGCAGCATAGTTGGACGAGACTGACGATATGATATCCTTCACAAATACCACTGAACCTGAACTTTCTGAGGAGCTAAATTCACAGCCTGGATAAATTTTGCGATATTTGCATTCCCTTGTGTGGTAATTGAAATTAAATATCATATCAGAATATATTTGCAATTTTGCATCAAACACTCGAAACTTTTACGAATCCTATATTTCCGGCAAAGATGATCCATTTGACCAAAAAACTGCTCTACTTCTCAAGGCCTTCAAATCATAATATAGAATTTCAATATACCACAGATTAGGCAGGACCATTATGTGAGGGCTGGTCCTATATGGAACATTTTCTAGAAGCTTCGTCAAAAATCATCTCATTTTCAAAATATTCTCCAAAGAATACATTACGGACACTGTGGTGGAAAATCGCGGATAAGACCTTCACAATATCGAAAATGGGAGAGACACTTATGTCGAGAATATAATAACGCTTTATCTTATATTGAAAATGTTCTCCGGACATGTTTATTTTCCCGACGGGTAACTTACATGGGGCTAGTCAAAATCTGGACCGATGTCGACAATTTTCTCCAAATATGTGTTAGCCCTTCAAACCACAGGTCTTCAATTGTCTTAGAAAATCATTCTTAAACCATCCAAGGCCTTCGATTGTCTTTGAAAAAAATATTTTTCAAAAATCCAGTTTAACAATTGTCCTTGAAAAATATTCTTAAAAAAACCCAGGGCATAAATTTTTAAAAAAGATTGAAAAAATATTATTAAACCAGGAAGAAAAGTCGGACTGGGCGGCCTATATGATACCCTTCACCACTTTAGGTATATTGCGCATATGTATCCTTACATTTGCATGTCAATGTTCCCTTAGAAGGAACATACGCATGTCCTTCTGCAACCTATGATAAATTTAATGTCATTCGGGCAGATTTACGCAGACGACTTTCTGCGTAGCATGGGACAAATTTATGAAAAACGTTTTATAGCAAAATTGATACACGCTATTCGGTACGCCGCACTGATAAAAATGTTATTTCAATCAGACACTCGTTCGAAATACATGTGGAACCTATGGCTGTAACTGGACCAATCTCAATTTGATACATTGTTGAAAATTTCGAAAATATATATGGGAGCTATATCTAAATCTGAACCTATTTTCACAAAACTTAATACTCATCATTCTAGACTCAATTTAATACGCTATGCCAAATTTCGTGTCAATCGAAGGATATATAGGGACTTTAGTGCACTATTTACTCAAATCGGACGAACTATATATAGGAGCTATATCTAAATTCTAGACTCAATTCAATACGCTATGCCAAATTTCGTGCACATCGAAGGATATGCAGGGACTATGGTGCACTATTTACCTAAAATCGGACAAAAATATATTTGGGAGCTATATCTAAATCTGAACCGATTTCAACAAAACTTGGCATGTATCAACCTAGACCTAGTTCAGTACTCTGTGCAAAATTTTGTCTCAATCGGAAATTATTGGGAGTTTGGTGCACCATTTACCTAAAATCGAACGAAACTATATATTGGAGCTATATCGAAATCTGAACCGATTTTCTCAAATTTCAATAGGGTTCGTCCTTGGGCCAAATAAGTGGCAGGTGTCATTTCATTCAAATCGGATCATAACTGGGACCTATACTTTGTTCACAAAAATTCATGGACGGACGGACAGACAGACGGACATACATAAATCGACTCAGAAAGTGATTCTATGCATATTCTCAAAACGAACCATGGGTCTTTCTCGATTCCTGTTGCCAGTTACAAGCATATGTACATAGACATAATACTCTGTACCGCAGTGGGGTTAAGGGTATAGAAATCCAGGCTTTAGATCAGTGAAGGTAAAAATACTTGCATTGGTATTTGTATGTTATTCTCCCGCCTATGCCAAACAAACGGCAAATCTAAACTGAGAGAGAATACGTGTGGTTTGTTGTCACGAAAACGTAAAGGGCTGAGCAACACTGCAACACTTTAGGTAGTCCTTTAAAAATGATTCTTTAATAATAATCAAAAATATTCTTTAAAAAATCCATTCCTTGTGTGGAATATTTTCAAAAATATTCTTAAACCAGTGAGCGGAGCAGTATAGTCGGATGGGGCCGACCATAGGATACCATACACAACTTCCATGAAAATATAACTTTCTGTGGTTCTATATTCTGAGATTGGGCAATATTTCGATATTTGCATACTTTTGATTGGCTAGAGGTCAGCAAATGTTACTAATAATCAGTACAGCCCCTCTAATTACTTGTCCAGATTCCCTTCACCGTGGGTTGTGTTGTGATGTTCGGCTTTCGACTCGGAAAGTACAAATAATTAAGTTTTCGGTCCACTTCATCCGAAAAATTATTATCTGATCATCACGTAACAGTTTAGGCGTTGGCCTTGACCATAACTGGAATTTCATGGAACATTTCAAAGCGATCAGCTCTATATTTCCGCCCTCTAATGTTAATCGATTACTAAATAATATATGAATACGTAAGCACCTGTACATATTTAAGTGTAACACCCGCATCCGAGTACCTACGACAATATAATTGGCATCAATTTAAAGGCCAGCCACTCCTCTTGGATATACTATCAACCTCTCGGGTCTATGTCCTTCAGGAGTAAATATATACGCCATAGAATACAAATGTTGTCATTTTTCACACAAAAGTTAGGGTCCATTTGACCCGCTAAATATTGACCGATCTCTATATAAAACCAGTAAGGAAAGTAGTAAAGTCGGACGGGGCCGACTATATGATACCCTTCACCACTATGGGTATATTAAACAGGACTATTAACATGAAATTGGATGAAATATAATATGTTATATTTATCTAAATGTGAATCTACCTAGATCTGTCCATAAAGAATGTAAATCGACTTCAAACAAATATAAATAGGTCATCCGTTGGGCTATGCCTGTACTTCTAGAAAACGCAACTACGTAATTCTATGCTCAATTTTGTACGTTGTGCAAAATTTGATGTCAATCTGACTATCATGAGGAGTTTGATGCCCAATTTACTTGAAATCGGGCGAAAATATATATGGAAGCTCTATCCAAATATTAAGCGATTTCAAACACACTTGTCACAGGTGCGTAAATTACTTATAATCAGTCTATAAGGCAGACACACTCTAGGCTCAATTCAGTACGTTATGCCAAATTTCGTGCAAATCGAAAGATATATAGGGACTTTGGGGCACCATTTACATAAAATCGGACGAAACTATATATGGGAGCTATATAGAAATCTGGACCGATTTTCTTGAAACTTGGCAGACATCACTCTAGGCTTAATTCAGTACGTTATGCCAAATTTTGTGCAAATCGAAGAATATATAGGGACTTTGGGGCACCATTTACATGAAATCGGACGAAACTATATATGGGAGCTATATCTAAATCTGGACCGATTTTCACGAAATTTGGCAGGCATCATTCTAGACCTAAATGATTAGGCTGTACCAAATTTCGTGCAAATAGAAGGATATATAGGGACCGTTTACATTAAATCGGTTAAATATATATATGGGAGCTATATCTAAATCTGAACCGATTTTTCCCAATTTCAATAGGGTTCGTCCTTGGGCCGAATAAGTGACCTATTGCAAATTTCATTCAAATCGGATCATAAATGCGACCTGTACTTTGTTCACAAAAATACATGGACAGACAGACGGACAGACGGACGGACGGACATGCATAAATCGACTTAAAAAGTGATTCTATGCATATTCTCAAAAGGAACCATGTGTCTATCTCGTTTCCTTTTGCCTGTTACAAACATATGCACAAAGACATAATACCCTGTACCACAGTGTGGTGAAGGTATAAACAGGCATGCTTATTCTTTGGCCCGATCCCCGTCCTCTGGAGCGACCAGAAAAACCGACAACAATAAAGTTTTTGGTCCATTTCTGGTCTTCATTGACCAGAACCCATCCTACATGCAAAATTTCGTGAAGATTGGTCCATAACTGTGGCCGGTATCGTGTTTACAAATTATAATGGACAGACGGACGGACGGACACATGTCTAGATCGATTCAGATAGTCGAGATATGACGATCGGTATACTTAAAGGTGGGTCTAGGACCAATATTTCGTGACGTTACAACAACATAGTTGTGTAGGGTATAAAAATCCACGCATGATCTTAAAAAATTCAAAATTTGTGTTTTTGTAAAAAAAAAACTATTCCACTCCAATATCCTGGCCTCAGGATTGCTTATTTTCCGATTTAATCTTGCGATGAACATGAAAACGAATGTGAGCATAAAGTAGAAAGAAGAAATTGCATGCAAGAATTACACCATCAATGCCAAAGAAGTAGGAGAAAAAAAGGAAAAAAAAGAAAAGCGGAAAATCAAAGGCAAAATAAATACAATATGTAGTGCAATGGCGGGGTGAGGGAGGTGACACATAAAGCAACAAAGAAACGTATGTTTGTTTGTGTAAGTAATATATTAAACCCCTGCAGTTCATCTATTCTAGAATGTGAAACATAGCAGGCTATATGGTTCTGCCCTGCACTGAATCTCTTTCGCTCTCCGGTACTTACCATTATGGGTAGCAGCAATTCATGCGTTTCGTTGCCACGCCACAAATGTGAATCCTGCGGTACATTGGGTATTTCACATTCGAGCGAATTGATTTTCTCTTGCAAACGACTTAGAATCCTAGGTCGTACAATTGGTTTTGTTGCGGATTTTGTGGGATTTGTTGAATGGGATGATACCGACGATGTAGGCCTCCATGTGGGTGGTGGATAGACATAGGAGGGTACCATATAGGATTGCGGATCGGATGATGATGCGGGTGGTGGTGCTGAAGAAGTGCTGGAGTAGGATTTTCCTGATGTTGAGGATGGTGCTAAGATTTGTGATGAAGCAGCATCACCAGCAGCAGAAGGCAATGCTGAAGATGTTAAATTATTTGATCTTGCTTCCTGTGGTTTGGAACTGGTCAAAGTAGTTGGATTAGTTGTAAGCAGTTGAGTACTTGTCGTTGTGGGTGATGCTGATTGTGCTGCTGTGTCGGTGTTAGTTTTATGGTCAGGTGTTACTGTAGAGGATTTGTAAGTTTCGGTTCTTTGAGAACCATCACCCTCACCATTGTTGTTGTTATTGTTGTTGGGTATTATGGTTTTTATCAACAATTTGGCTTTTTTCAATTCTTTGTGAAACTTTTTCGTTGTTGTAGAGGTGGTGGTAGCGGTGAGTAATTCAGCATTAATTCTGGTGGTAGTGGAGCCTATATTCGTACTCATGGTGGTGGGAGGTGTGTCCAACGAGTCACTCTTGTTGTGCTGGTGCTGCTGCACTGTGACTCTCTTTATGGCCAAACTTTTCTGTGGCTGTTCATGAATCTCTTCTAGTTTGGCTATTTTTGGAGAATGCAAAACCGCAAAACTATTCAAAGTCATGGATGAGGCACCCCTACCAGCCTGAGGAGTTATGTCGTCTTCTTTTAACAGGTTCATGGAGTCAGGATGGGAATGTGACTCAGATTGTTGTTGTTGTTGCTGCTGCATCTGCTTGTTTTTATGTTGCAACATTTCATTGTAGAGCTCTTTGCTGTTGTAGAATTTCGTTGTGGAAAATTCCGGTTGTTGTCGTGGCACATGCATGGCATTTAGGTCGTGGCCGGGGGCTCCCTGTGAAATTCCTGCTCCCACTCCAGAGGTTGCAGATAATTCCTGGGCTAGAGGGGGATTTAAGTGCTGCTTGGGTTCATTTAAATTACTGCTAAATTTCGTATTGGCAAAATCGAAGTGTTGCATGGCATGATTGGCATCACTGGCAATGCGATGCATGGGAAAATCGAAACTTTTCTTAACGCGGCGCTCAATAAATTGTACGGGTCTCATAATGACCACATTGGGGGTAGGACCCCCAGCTGCAGTTGATACCTCCCTGGAACGATGGGTATTGGGTGGCGATTTTTCATGATTTACCATAAGTGTGGCAAAGGGTTTGTGGGTCGGTGTGGCCACAGGTTCTGCGGCCTTGGCTGTTGTGGTTTCCTCATTTTCCTCTTGTTTCCCATTGATATCGGTGGCAAATTCCTTTAAACGAAATTTCTCTTCAATTTCCGTAATGACCCCATCCTCCTCTTGTAAAACCTTGCCAGTGAAATCCACTGCCACCGGTGTGGCAGGATGCAGATAAGGACTCCAATTGATATTATGTTCATAGGGAGATTGATAGACTTTTTTGGGTTCCATTCTCAGTTTCGGCCCCACTGGATGTTCAAAATCCTCCACTTCGTTAGGCATTAGATTTTGTTTCCATTCTTGTTCTTCATTGAGATTTTTGGGGGTGAAAATTGTTCGCTCTGCTAGAAGTTTGTTGTTGGTTTCTTGGATCAAAGGTTTGAAATCATTGAGGGCAAGTTGTTCGGAATTTGTAGCAAATTCGTGGTTATCTGGATGAGGAGGCAGGGGTCGGGAGGTAATGGCCTCCTCGAAAATGTGCAGTTTTTCGGATTCCTCAATGCCAGTTGAGGGTGGAGAAATGGGGCTGGAGCTCTTCATATCATCATCTGCATGTGATGTGGTGGAGCTGGTATGAGTAGGCTGAGGCCGGGAGGTACTGTCTTCCTCGAAAATGTGTAATTTTTCATTTTCCTCAATGCCAGGGGAAGGAGAAGAGGAGGAGGAGGAGGTGGAAGTGGGATTACTGGTCTGCACATCTAAAATTTCCAAATTGGAGCTCCTTTGCTTCTCATCTAAAATTTCCCAATTGGAAGTGGGACTTCCTGTCTTCTCATCTGAATTTGCAGTACTAGAGCTAGGGCTTCTCCTACTATCCTTATTTAAATCGGTAGTGTTGGAGCTGGGTTCACTCTTCTTCTCATCTAAGTCTACAGAATTGGAGCTAAGAATCCTCCTACTCTCCTCATCTAAATTTGTAGAGCTGGAGCTGGAAATATCCCCATTTAAAATTCCCTGTTGTTGCTGCGGAATCGAAGTTGCCTGAAAATTACCGGAGATACTAGTGTCGATTTTAAATTGCTGGCTATCTGTGGCAATTTCCGTTGCATCTTCAGCAGCGTGAATTGTTGTAAAGGGAATATTTGTTGTGACAAACTTTTTCATATCCTCATGCTTTGGCTTCTTCTCTACCCTCTCCTCATCCACCTCCCCCTTGTTATCTGTTGCTGTCGCTTTTAATGTAATCACATTGTTCGGTGTATTCGCTGTCGTTGTTTGTGCATTTCCGTTTACTTGTTGCTGCTGCACTTCCGTTTCCTTTAGCATAGACACTTCCGTTGTTAATGTCTGTTGCTCTTTATGTGACTCATGTTGTTGTTCTGTTTGTTGTTGTAACTCCTTGTTGTTGATTATAGTTTGTTGTCCTGTCATTGTCATGATTTGTTGCTGGTCTTTTACACCATCCACAACAGAAGCATCCGAACTTTCCAAAGATTCTTTGTTTGTTGCCTCCATCCGTTCGGCAGCAATCTCGCTTGGCTGGTCTATTGTTGGTGTTAGTTTTTCCAACGTTATTGTTGTTGTTGTTGGTTTTTCACTTTCATTGACAATCGTTGTTGCTGGAGCATTTGAAGATGCCAGTGTGGGGGTCTGGGTCTCAGCAAAACGATTTTCTAAAGGTGTTGAGGGTATTGATGCCTCTGTAGAGCTGCTGGAGATAAACGGCTTGGCTTCTACCGAATCATGACTGGTTATTGTTGTAAAATGCAAATCATTTTCAATTCGCTTTCCCTTAACATCCAAAGGCACACTCGAAGAAGGTGTTGCCCCTGGTCTTACATCCTCCACAAGTTGACTCTTTTCTGTTGCTGTTGTTGTTGTTGTTGTTACTTTTGCAATATTTAATGCCCCAGTAATTTGGCTTGTCAGCAAGCCAAACAGCATTAATGTTATCCAATTGTTCGACATTTTTATATTTCTTTTCATTTTCATTTTTGTTTGTGAAAATTATTTAATTAATTTCATAAATTGCTCAGTTTGCTGCGACTTTGGTATTTTTATTTTTGAGGCTTATTAATTTTTTTTATTTATTTCTATATATCACTTGCCTTTTATTTCAAAAAATTGAAATTTCCCTTTTCACCACACAAAACTTTGTAATTTTTCAAAATTGTTGTTGGCATTTTATTTTATGCGCTTTTGTTGTTGTGATTTTTATGGTCATTGTGTTTTTGGTTACAATTCCATGTTTGTGGGCTTCTGTAAAGAAAAAACAAAAATAACAAAAAATGGCCGGTTATTAATATCCATAAATTATTAATAATTAATTTTCATAATTATAATTGTTTGTTTGTATGTATGTATGTTTGTGTGTGTCTGCGTTACATTTTAAATGACTTTTAATTAATTGCATTGTTCGTGTGGCTTTCATTTAAATCATTTCGTCCACATTGAAATAATTGTTCATTTTGTAATGGAACATAATTTCAATTGGTTGTTGGAGGGCTACTGTTGGTTAGTGGTGTTGTTTTGTACGTTTCATTTCGAGGGGAGAACATTTGCCATGACGTTCAACAAATAGCGAATATTTGACAAATTTAACGTTGAAATTAAATGATACCATCAATATTTTTTATTACCAATTAATGTTTAGTTTAAGACTTAAGACTTCTTTGGTGGATTTTCGTCTCATCCCTTCGTTTAAGGCAAAAATCCATTAATTTCTCGCACAAATTCATCAAATCTATTTGTAAACCACTGAGCTGATTAATATAGTCGGACGGGGCCGGCCATATAATATCCTAAACAGCTACCACTGAACTCTAAGTTTCGGAGCCTGGGCAATATTTCACGGAATTTGCACTCTCTTGACCGATTACAGGTCAACAGCTCCTCTGAGGCATTTTTTGCGAATCATGTTTTCCTGGAGCAAAATCTGCACAAAATTGCTTTGTCTATTTGACCCGCTAAATATTGATTAGTTGGCCAGATCGCCTTCCCCATGGAGTATATGTGATGTTCAGCTTGTCATTGCGGTGCCTAGAGAGACTAGATTAACTGACATAAATAAAGTTTTTATTCCATTTCATCACCGAAAATCGGATCCTCATGCAAAATTTCCACGCCATTAGCTGGAAATTGTTATCCTCATATCTAGACTAACTGAATGTGAGGCCGCCTGTCCATTATAATGGGTAAACACTGCAAGGGTCAAAGTTATGGACCAATCGTCACCAAATTTTACTTGTGGGACCAGTTCTGGCCAAAGAAGATCTCTATTGTTTTTTTTTTTTTACAATGATTCATTAATACTTAACTAGAGGCTACAATTATAACCCGAACATCATGGTATTTAACACCGAAAAATGAATCTGTCCGAGGATTAAGCATGGCTCTTTTCATGATAATGGTCAAATGGACACAGAATTTTGTGTGATCGGAATATACATACGCAGAAAATTTGAGTTCCGTGGTAGTTGTGTAGGGTATCGTATGGTCGGCCCCGTTCGACTATACTGCTCCGCTAACTGGTTAGTATTACAATTATTTTACTTGATGTTCCGTCTATGGTCAAAGACAACTCATATAGTTTTCAGAGGTGATCAGATGATATTGAGGGGCTGAAATGGACCGAACACTATATTTTTCTTCTGTCTTAGTCGCTCTAGATGCCACAATTATAAATCGAATATCTTAAACATTACATGGGACCGCTACTCCGGTTCAAAATAACCCAGATTTTTGTGTGTAAAATGATATAATTGGTATTTTATTGCGTAAATGTTCCATTGGGGGATAAATGGTTCGGAAAAGTTACCACTACACTATGGCTGATGGTTTGGGGAAATACTCCAGATAGTTTCGATTCGTTCATTCTTGTGACCGCAATTATTCCAATAAATGGGAATCCAAAATATAAAATTAAAACCAACTTGGTTGAAAAATAACCGGAAACTAGTCCAATATGGGTCATTTTTGGTAAATAGATTTTATATACAATCCCAAAATACCAAATTACAGGGGCGTAAAGGGGCGGTGCCCGCCCATTTTTCACAAATCTGATAATATTATTCTCCATATTTGGTGAAGCTAGCTTGTCAAGAAATATTTTACGTCGCTAAAATCGCGATTAAGTCATAGTGCAGTGTATGAAATGTTAGGGTCCACATATTTATTAGTACCATTATTCCATTGGACTTAATTTTAACACTGCTGTCATAAATTAAAAAAAAAAATAAATAAATAAAAAGTGGATTTTATTCGGCCGTGCCAAACTTTATATATATAAATGTGAAAAAAACTCTAGATGTGAAGAGAATCGGGAGGGATCGTTATATAGGAGGTATTACAAATAGTGCTCAAAAGCTATTTTGTAATCCGCAGGACACCAGAGCAACTAAATTATAAACCCTCTAGGATCGTTGTTATACTGCCCGACTTCGAAAGTAGAGAACCCAGATTGATATATATTTTTCAAGAGGATTTTGGATCTTACAATGCACCAGAAATATTGAAAAAGGAAATATGCACTTCATCTATTGTTGAGTACAGTCATATTTGGTCAACTTAAAAACGTGTTCCAAATAACAACATTTCACACCTAAATTGACATAAATAGTTGTGCTTATTGCCTATACTAACATGTTCATAAATAAATTATATCCTGCCATCCTATAAGTGGTGCATAATCTTGTACCATTTGTTATACCCTTAACCACACTGTGCTACAGGGTATTATGTCTTTGTGCATATGTTTGTAACAGGCACAAGGAAACGAGATATACGCACGGTTCCTTTTGAGAATATGCATAGAATCATTTTCTGAGTCGATTTATGCATGCCCGTCCGTCCGTCTGTAGATGTTAAATTTGGCGTAGTGTACTGAATTGAGTCTAGAATAATGTATGTCAAGTATCGAGAAAATCCGGTCAGATTTAGACATAGATCCCATATATATTTTCGTCCGATTTCAGGTAAATGGTGCATCAAAGTCCCTGAAAATATTTTCATTTGCACGAATTTTGGCATAGTGTACTGAATTAAGTCTAGAATGATGTGTGCAAAGTTTCGTGAAAATCGGTTTTGATTTAGATATAGCTCCCATATATATTTTCATCCGATATTAGGTAATTGGTTCACCAAAGTCCCCATATATCTTTCTATTTGCACGAATTTTGATATAGGGTACTTAATTAAGTCTAGAACCAAAAAATATCAAAGCGATCAGTGCTATATTTCCATCTTCTAGTGTGGTAATGGGTTACTAAATAATATATGAATACGTAACCACCTGTATATATTTAAGTGTAGCTCCAACATCCGAGTACATACGACAATATATTTGGTATCAATTTAAAGGTCAACCACTCCTCTTGGATATACTGTTAACTTTTCGGGTCTATGTCATTTAGATGTAAATATTAACGCCATAGAATACAAATTTTGACATTTTCACACAAAAGTCAGGGTACATTTGACCCGCTAAATATTGACCCATCTTTTTGAAAATAGGCATGCTTATTCTTTGGCCCGATCCCCTTCTCCCTGTGAAATTTTGCGATGTTCTGGCCATAATTGCTGCCTCTGGAGCGACTAGAAAATCGGACAAAAATAATGTATTTGGTCCATTTCATACCCTTAATATTAACCGATCCTTTCCAAAAATAGGGGTCTTCATTGGCCACAACCCATCCTACATGGAAAATTTCGTGAAGATTGGTCCATAACTGTGGACTGTTTCGTGCTTACAAATTATAGTGGACACACGGACGGACGGATGGATACACATGTCTAGATCGACTCAGCTAGTCGAGATATGACGATCGGTATACTTAAAGTAGGTCTAGGACCAATATTTCACGGCGTTACAAGCTCTTGGGGCTGCACAAAGCTATAATACCCTGACAACATAGTTGTGTAGGGTATAATGACAACATAGTTGTATAGGGTATAAAATTTGTACATATCAATCGAATGATAAATATTAGAGCAAAAATGATTTTTAGGAAAATAGTGGACATAATTTTTATTTAAAATTTTATAAACCGCAATTACGGTAGATTCGCCCGAAAAACACTTTTTTGGAAAATAAGAAAATTATTTTTTTTAAGATATTGATTATTGTCATTCAGGCGAATTAATTACATACTATTCTGGTATCACAGATACTGGTAGACTACAAGTGGAATATAACTGGCACCAATTCTCATAAAATCTACACCAGAATCCAATCCAATTATTTTTAATTTCCTAATTATAGATTTCATATTAAGTGAGAGACAAACAAAATAGTAATTTTTCGGGAAAATTCTTCCACAATCGTCTGTATCATCATGTAGAGAGATTTCATCGTCTTCCTCCTGTAATACAGATCTAAATCCTTCCATTAAAGTCAGTTCTTATTTTACGACAAATTTCCTGGAATTATCTTCAGTCGCATAAGTAGCCCTTAAGGAATGCCATCACCATAACATTTCAAATGAAATTACAGCAAGTGCTGGCTGGGGATAACATTTCGAATCAGTTACAAAGTCAATATTTATTTTTGTGTGTACAACAACTAAAGCAGACTTCGTTATTAGCATAATAGGTTTTGTATTTATTCATTTCTTTTTCAATTGAAAATCAAACTTATTACAGTAAGTTTTCAATTTTAAATTATTTGTATTTGTCTTTCGTCAATTGTTTGAAGATTTTTCGAAGAAAAACAAATGAAAATGAAAATAAAACATCTTAAGTGTTTATTTAGTTAAATATTAAAATTCCCTTCAAGTGTCGTTTAGGCAAATATTTATTCAAGTGAAAATTAAATGCCTTTGACTTGAAGATTGAAATCAATTTAAATGTTTAAGATTATTTCCGTACCAACCAAAAAAAGGAAGAATAAATAAATGATGACAGTATTTATCTATTGGTGTGTGTATGTATTGGTGTGGGTGCACGTGTGTGTGTGTACTTGCAGTATTGTT